GAGAGGCAGCTGTGAAAGAGAACTAGAGGGTTGAGCACTGGGAACTGAACCTGGGCGGACTTTCTTGGCTAGATTAGGCATGGCCTAAAGACCCCTGGGAAGCCCGTGCAGGAGTCTTGGTTAGTATTGCATCATCACCTGAAGAGCTACTTCCTTGTTCTGTGTGGAACTCATTCCAACAGCGCCACCGTGTGATTGCAAGAAGCAGACGCAAGAGCGAACCGAGAAGGTTCCTGCGCTATGGCCGCTTGGGTGTGGAAGCCGTTAACCCTTTGGGGACTGCATTGAGCCTTAAAGTTGTTGGACGATTCCAGAAATAGGGAAGAGCTTACAGGCAGGAGATTCTGGACTTCTGCTAATTATTCATATGGGTATACACAAAATTGTTAGGAAAAATAAGAGAGATAACAGTGCGTGTACCTTGAATTTGTGAAGCATTTTCTATTGGATGTTATTATCACAAATAGCACAGCTGTACGGTAATTTGACACTTTATATATCTCTATAGTTGAACTTGTATGGGAATTTGTATTCGTTTTCTGTTGCTACCGCAACCTTAGTGGTTTCAACAACACAAACTTATTACCTTACAGTTCGGTACGTCAGAACTGACATGGGTCTCACCAGGCTAAAATCAAGTCATTGGCGGGACTGTTCCTTTCTGGAAACCCTAGTGGAGAACACACTTCCTTGTTCATTTGAATTTCTGATATAATTCAGTTTCTTGTATTGTGGAACTGAGATGGTTTCTGGCCGTCGACTGAGAGTTATTCCCAGAGTCTAGAGGTCACATACATTTTTATATTTTTTATTTTATTTTTGAGACTGAGTCTCCTCTATCGCCCAGGCTAAAGTGCAGTGGCACAATCTCGGTTCACTGCAACCTCCGCCTCAGCAATTCTCGTGCCTCAGCCTCCCAAATTACAGGCGCCTACCACCATACCCGGCTAATTTTTGTATTTTTAGTGGAGACAAGGTTTCACCATGTTGGCCAGGCTGGTCTAGAACTCCTGACCTCAAGTGATCCGCCCGCCTCGGCCTCCCAAAGTTCTGGGATCACAGGAGTTAGCTACGGCACCCGGCCCACATTTCTTCCTCTGTCTCAAAGTCGCAGTATTGCGTCCAGTCCTACTCACATAGAATCTCTCTTACCTCTTATACCCTGTTTCCACTTTTAAGGATTCATGTGATTAGATTCTAGGACCCTCCCAGATAAACCAGGATAATGTCTCCATCTCAAGGTCCTTAACCTTGATCATAGTTGCAAAGTTTTTGACATGTTAGGTAATATATTCACAGGGGATTAAGTTGGGGACATCTTTGGGAGTCCATTATTCTCCTTATTTTGAGGTTTTTTTAATATTTAAAAATATAGTCTTTAAAAAAAAACTCCAGTGAACAAATGTTTATTTAGAAGGATTTTTACAGACAAGAGTCTTACTTTCAAAAAGCGGAGGAACCACTTTTATATTTTTATTTTTTATATGTAAAAATGTAGTCTTTGTTGGAGAGTACATGGAGAAAAGGGAAACTTGCACGCTGTTGATAAGAATATAAATTAGTACAGCCATTATGGAAAAGAGTCTGGAGGCTTCCCAAAAAATTGAAAATAGAACTACCATACGATCCAGCAATCCCACTACTCTGCATGCTTCCAAGGGATATGAAATCAGTATGTCAAAGAGGTATCTGCACTCCAATGTTCATTAACAGCGTTTTTCACAATAGCCAAGTTATGAAATCAACCGTGTCCATAAACAGATAAGTGGATAGAGAAAATATAGTATCTATAAACAATGGGACACTATTCAGTCTTTAAAAATAAGGAAATTCAGCCATTTTCAACAACATGAATGAACCTGGAAAACACGATGTTAAGTAAAATAAGCCAGAAAAGAATGACAAATACCACATGATCTTACATAGTATACGTGAAATTTTAAAAAGTTGAACTCATAGAAGTAGATAGTAGAATGGTGGTTGCCAGAGGTGGGGTATTAGGAGATGTTGGTCAAAGGATACAAAATTCCAATTAAATAGGAGGAATAAGTTCAAGAGATCTATCGTACACATAGTGACTACAGTTAATAATGTATTGCGTTCTTGAAAATTGCTAAGAGAAGTAGATTCTCAGTGGTCCCACCACAAAAGAAAAAAGTGCGAATTAGCTCAATTTAATAAAAAAAAAAAAGCTAGTTAACTCAATTTAATCATTCCACAATGTATACATAATTTAAAACAACTGTTGTAGATTAATATCTGCAATCTTTTGCTATTAAAAAACTTCAAAAAATTATATAATTATATATCCAATTTATATAAATTCAGATATCAATATAGGTATGTTACTATAT